GTGTGTTCAGGTGTGTTCAGGTGTATTCAGGTGTGTTCAGGTGTGTGGGTGTGTTCAGGTGTGTAAACAGGTGTAATCAGATGTGTACAGGTGTATACAGGTGTGTACAGGTGTGTAAACAGGTGTGTTCAGGTGTGCCTCTGACCTTCTGGAAGTACCCCCTCTTCACAGAAACGTCCTTCACTTGTCTGAAATAGACGTAACCAAAGAAATGGGACACTTCAGTCTGCGGAGACAACGAGAGACACATTATGACATCACAAAGAGAGGATGATGATGATGATGATGATGATGAAGCTCATAAATGTTCCTTTAACCTTTAATGATCCAGTTAAAACCGATCAATAACCGATCAGTATGTTTCCTCACCTGCAGGGTGACGGGGGCGTCTCGGTTGTAAACGTCCTCTCTGAACCTCGAAGCTCGTCGGCCGACCGACTGACGCAACCTGAAGCTGAACTGAGTGTCCCCAAGGCATCCTGGGAAATGAAGTGCCACACGTGACCTCTGACCTCTGGTATACAGTAAACAATAATACGGTAGTAATACAGTACCTGAGTATGAGTCAGGGAAGGACAGGTAGCAGATGCTGGTTTTCTGACAACAAAAATCACAAAGGAATATGATCAATAAATCTATAATCAATAGATTGATTATTAATCTACAGAGTGAAGTTTGATCAATTATTACCTCCTTCTCAGTGAGTTTCACATCCTGAGGATACACCAGCTGAAAAACACAGAAACCAAACTTCATTCAGAATTCTGCTGAATTAAGAAATCACTGAAAATAAGAATAATAACAATAAGAAGAATTAGAATCAATAATAATGATAATAAAATAAATGTTTGGTGAACTGGTTGCACGCCGAACTCAACAAAAGACTCAACTTTATTTCAGTCTAATAAAACATTTCTATAAATGGTGAAGCTGCAAAAGACAGAAGGAAAAATGTAAATATCGTCAGTTTTTTAAATGGAGTTTGGTACTAAACTGTAAGTGTCAGTGGAATTAACAAGAACTGAGCTTTGTTAAATTACTAATAATCAGATAATGACAACTGACAGCCATCAGCAGCATCTTCTGCCTCCCATCAGGCACTGGGAGAAAGGACTCGCACCAAATTACTTTTAAAATTCTGCAAATTTAATATAATTTAATT